ACATTGTTCCAGGTGTTCATCAACGATCTGTTGGAAGTCGTAGAGGCAGTCCGGAAGGGAGTAAAAGTAGGGGACACGGAAACGTCGGTTTCAGGAATGCTGTTTGCGGATGATTTTGTCGGTATGTCGGACACCCCTGAGGGACTGCAACTGCAAATTGACGCGGCGAAGAAGTTTACTGATAAGTGGAGATTGTCTGCCAACGTTCAGAAGAGTGCCGTCATGGTTTGCAACGAGAGCAAGGAGGAACCAGCTGAACATAGATGGAAGTGGGGGATCGAGGAGATTGCAGAAGTGGACCAGCACACAACCTCGGAGTAGATGTCGCAAAAGACTGCTCGTGGAATGCACACATATTCAAGGTAGCGGCAACGGGCAAAGCACGAGCAGGGAAGCTGCACCCAATACTAGCAAACCGGCACCTCGATACACGGATTAAATTGAAGGTGTGAAGAGCGGACTCGTACCGCCGCTAGAGTACGCCGGAGAAGTATGGGAAGGAAATAAGAAGGTAGTGAAAGAACTCGAGGCGGCGCAGGTGAAAGCAGCGAAAATCATCGTAGGGTGCTCCAAGCGCACAAGTAATGCAGCCGTCAGGGCAGAATCGGGGATCCAATCCCTACGGTGGGGGAGAGACGCGAGGAAGCTGACCTGGCAGTATCGCATGTGCGGGATGGGAGAGGAGAGGTTGCCAAGGATTGTATGGGAGGCGAAGTGGGCAAACAAAAAGAGGGGTAGACAACGCACGGAATCGGTCAAGGTTGTAGAGGACGTATGGAAGGGGCTCGACATCGACGAAGATGAAACGCTGGAAACGAGGGGTCGTGAGTTCGAATCTCCATGGGGTGAAAAATTTACGAAGTATGCGGGTGAAAGCGAAACATAGCTATAAAGCTCGAGTACCAAACTTCGACGTTCGCACCGTTGACGAGGGAAAGGGACGGCTGGACCCTTCTCGCGATAAAAATAAATTGCAGCACGCACCGCAGGAGGAAGGTGGGGCATGAAAAGAAATAAGACGAAAAAAGCCCTGGTGTTTACCCCCTCCTGTGTGACCCTGGATGGTTGTAGTTGTACGAAAAAATACACTGAAAAGTGTAGTACTCTACATGCGCTGAAAAGTGTAGTGCACGTCTCACCACGAAAATGGGGATACTGTCGCCATAATAATAGGACGCAAACACACACAAACAGTACATGTAGATTACAAGTATACATGTAGATTACAAGTATGCATACAGCAGACTTGGTGTGTGGTGTGTGCATGTGAAGGATCTTCCTGGCGGTTTTGCCTTTCACGGCCCACAGATCTGCTTCTTACAATCCTGGAAGCGTGACATCCTGACAGGGTTCCTGTCCGTGGACCTCGTGGGGACCAATTACCTTCCCAGGTTGTCACACAGGGTAGCCGAATGGCTACTACAGGTGTGGGGTGTTCAAGCGTTAACCGCCGGTGGGGTGTTTAGCCGTGCCTTTTCTTTTCCTGTTCGGTTTTGTCATAAGGAGACGTTGCGGACTGCTGCTGTCCTCTCTCGGCTGAACCCTAGTTCATGGTTTGGTTCATCGCCCAAAAGCCCGAAAAAGGTCCCTGTTACCCCCGGATTTGGAGACAACATGATGCTACGATTGTACGATCACCACTTCATACCGCTCCAATGTCAAGTACGTCTTCTGGCCATGATTCTGACGGCTCACGTGAGCACGGTCAAATTCGTTGGAAGGCTCTTTGTTGACGAAAAAGGTCGCGGCGAGCAGCGAAAAAGTGCACGAGCAATATCTATTGGAAGTAGCCTTTCAACAAATACCCATCTCTGTCCACATGACAGAGTACGGAATAAATTTGCAATGAACTCATGGCATTCGCCGACAAACTACGTGTAGGGGTGAATCTACATTACGATTTCCCGAGCACTATTCAGCGATATCTCTCGTGTGGGTCACAAGCCCGAACGAAAATCCGCTCTGCAAACCTTCTCTTCATCCCAACCCAACATCCTCGTTTCCGCAACAACTGAACCAAGAATCAGGCGCATGTCTTTACCAAGACGTGAGGCGAATGACTTCGCTATTGCCATTCGACGGAGCCGATTTCCGGCCTGAAGAGGATACACGTTAACGCGGCCGCCCGACCTTCCCCCGTCCCCCTCCTTGATGATTGCTCCGTTTTTTTTGCGCCCGGGCGCATTGCTTTGACGGCATTGGCGATATTGTCTGTTTCTCGGGAAATAGCACTCTTCTCAAGGGCGCAGTAAAAACGTCTTCCCGCACGCCTACCCCACACCTCGCCCCACCCGGAACGAAAATTTGTTTTTTTTCGTGGTACATTTTTGTGGAGGCTTCTTTGGCTTTCTCCCTCTCCATTGCGTGTGCTTGCGTGTGCTGGTGTTTGCGGCACGCAGAAGTGCACAAGGGCCTTGTTACCAGGTAGGAGTTGTTTGATAGGTGACAGTGTTTGAGATACATTCGCCGGAAGATTGTTACTTCGTAGAAATAGCTGGTATGGGCTACGTACTAACGTGGTTTTCAATACTTCGAAGTACATTCCCCCCCCCTCAAGCTAGAAGTAAATTTGGAACTTCTCAACGCTTCCGCGACAAGTCCGCGACATTCGACCTTGGCGAAGGCGAAATAACACGACACACCAGATCCAAAGGACGCATAAATACCATGCGTCAAAACGTCATCAATCCAAGCATACTCCAAGCCCCGGCAACATACCGAAGAGGGGCTGCCGATGAGCCTACGGTGGTGGCATCACCTTCACCACGTGCAACACCCGTCCACAATTGCAATTACTTACCGTGTGTTCCAAGTACTTGTTCACTCCCCAAGACCCCTCCAACTCCTCCCTCAACAAGACTAATCCGCCGTTNAGCTCTCTCTCTCTCTCTCCTCTGCTACGGACGGTACCGCGGCTGCGGTGCACGCAAGCTCAAGCTCGCCCAGGGCTACCTGGGTTGTTTCTATACCCCCGTGCATGAAATGTGCCTTCTTGATACATTGGATTTAGTATAGGCGTGTTCATAAAGGAAATTGAATGGCGTCGAGGGGGGGAGGGGGGAGGGCTTTGCAACCGTCCCCCCCCCC